CCCCGCCAATAAAAAGGACAGCCTGACTCGTACCTGTTTAGTTAGGTATGCACATACCACAAATTCCATGGTTATTCAGAGCCAACAGCACTGGAACCCCAAATCCATATCTGGGTCCCTGAAAAGCAGGGGTGGTCAGGAAGACAGCATATGAATGCACGCCCTGAGTCAGGAGAATCCGTTCTGTTCACAGTCTTGGCCTTCTGTGCATCCCTGTCAAGCCTGTTCCCCACTCTCATGCTCGGGTGAGTAAACAGAATAGATGTGGTCCGGGACGGATGGTTGGGGGCTGCCCCAGGAGCCTCAGATGTTGGATCTTAAATGGACAGGGTAGTGGTTTGTAAATCACTCTGGGCCACAGGCCACCCTCTGCCAACAATTTCATCTTTGCATAGCCGTTTCAATCTTCCCTATTCACTTGGCTTTTTAAGAGTTCAAGAAAGCCAAACAATAATAGCAAAAAAAAAAATTAATCCAGGCTAGGTCATGACACAGCCTTAAAAAAAATGTCCAAGTGACACTTTGATCCAAGCCATTGCACACTGAGAGAATTTGGAAACAAAGGTGAGGGGGGAAATGTTCAAAGAAGTCATCCAAGGAAGGAAGAGATGCTGTCACATTTATACAAACCTATTTTGTTAGCAGTGCAAACGTCTTCAAAAAGTGCTTCAGAAACTCTGACTGGCAGGGAAAAGACACATGTGGCTTCCAAACAGCGGCATTCAAGCAGCCTTGGCAGCCCTGATGCCAACTGCCTTTTACCCTTTCCCAGAACCTGAGTCCCCTGGTGCCCACCTTCACCTGTGAGACCTGGCCTCCCCTCCTCACAGTTGCTCTCACCAGTGAAGGCTCTGCCAGCCGCTGCACCCGCTCGCTGCCCAGCTGCCCTGGCTCCCCACTGCCTATAAGATCTGCTCCCCGAGAAGGGAGGTTAATTACATAGACACCATGCCCCACTTCAGAGGCAGAACATACCACAGGCAGCTACAACTTGCTGACTAGAGCTGCAGAGATCTCAGCTTTTCGAATAGGACAAAAATGTTGTCATGGGCCTGGAGTCACAGGGACTGAGGGGCTCCCTCACCACAGGCTACAGGACTAGGTCCCCAAGGGAGGGTGCCCCTGCCACTAAGGCTGGGCGGGCTGCTCTGCCACTGTCGCCCTTCTGCTCCTGGGAAGGAACCAGGAAATATTTACAAAAGCCCTGTGAGCAGAATTTCCTGACAGTCTGTCTCCACTGAAGGCGCCCTGGTGGTGCCACCATTAAATGCTTGGCCGCTAACTGAAAGGTTGGCGGTTCAAACTCATCCAGTGGTTCTTCAGGAGAAAGACCTGGCGATCTGCTTCTGTGAAGATTACAGACAAGAAAACCGTATGGGGCCGTTCTACTCTGTCACACAGGGTCGCTTTGAGTTGAATATCGATGGCACCCAACCGCAACTATCTCCACAGTAGTCATGTTAAGGCAGCTTCATTTTTCAGAACTGTAAATGAAAGGAGCCAGAGAACCAACTAATTCAGAAAAAGAAATCTACCGGGGCCCACAGCTGCCTACAGGATGAGAACTGAGAAGTTCTGTTGAAAACTCCCAATCTCGGTTTATTTTCTCCAGCAAGTTGCTTGGCATTCTGATCAGAAGGGATGATGTATTTTGCTTAAAACTTTGATTCTCCTGATTGCACCGTTTTAAAGTTCAAATGGTAGTTGTATTTGTATAACATTTCAAAGAATTCCCATATCCATTATCTTGCTCGAACCTATTTAATATCCCAGGGAGGCCACAACTCGTTAGACTATTACTGTCTATTAACATCGTAACTTCAATTAATCTTTCAGAGATTGATAAGCCCCGAGGGAACGAGACCCCGGAAATGGCACATTTGGATTGGAGGGGAGGTGGGAAACCATCCAAAGCAAGGCCAGCTGTCCGGGGCAGAGCTGATGAAGCACTGCAGTCCCACACCCACCTCTGCACCCACAGCAGTGCCAAGGAGGAGGTGAGGGACAGACAGGAAGGGTGGTAGTCACAAAGACAAACTTCACCCACTCAAGATTTTGCCTGGGGCTGGCCTGCAAATCATAAAGAAAAGACCCTGTGGTGTCAACTTGACCCATCCCAGTGCTGATAAGTCACGGTGTTTGCTGAAAGAACAACTTGGCTGTTCTCCAGAGCAGAGTGCTTGGTGTGTGTGCTGTGATTCTTTTCAGTAATTATAATCCTCTTGCTTATACAAATATTATGTAGGGAACAAAAAGAAGCTTCAGTTTTGAAACATCCCTTCTCACAATCTCTTCTCCCACGTTAGCATAATCCTCAAATAACGCGCCATTGAGCTCTCTGAGAAATTCCTCCAGCTTGCTACCCAGGAGCGTGTCTGGGTTCCAAGAACTCCCCTGAGACACCAGATACCCTATTCTAGCTAGAGCTGGAAGGTTGGTTTTGAGGACCCAGAAGTGACAGTCTCGGGGTCCTCTTCCTCTGAGCTCCTGTGTTGTGTGCTCCCTGGGCTTCCCCGAGACTTGGTGGGCACGAGGCAAGAGGCAGACTGCGCCCTCTCTCGGGCCTTGGTGTGCTCATCTGTCAAATGCGGGCTTTGGGTTTCACTGGTTCTCAACCCCGGCTGCACATTAGAATCACCTAAAAAAACCAAACCTGTTGCCAACAAGCTGATTCCGACTCATAGTGACTCTATAATACAGAATAGAGCTGCCTCATAGGGTTTCCAAGGCTGTAACCTTTATGGAAGCAGACTGCCACATCTTTCTCCAGCGAAGCCGCTGGTGGGTTCAAACCGCCAACCCTTTGGGTTAGTAGCCCAGCGCTTAGCCACTGCACCATCAGGACTCCTATAGAATCATCACTTGGGGAGCTTAAAAAAAGCCAAAACCAGGGCGACACACCCAGAGATTCTGATTTAACTTGTCTGGAGTGGGGCCCAGTTACTGGTGTTTTTTTTCATAGTTCTCCAGGTCTGACAACCACCAGGTTAGCGGCTCTTCGAAGTCTACGATCCTGTCTGGTCCCTACTCGTTATTTCTTTAATTTTCCCCAGAAAGTACTCGTTTTTTATTTTCAGCATGTTGCATAAGCTGATTTTTAGAAATGCTTTTAATTATTGAAAGATTATATTATTAAAGTGCTGTTTGCTGAGATATAACTGGCATAGAATAAACCGCACATTTAAAATGTACAATTTGATAAGTTTTGACAGATGAGAAATCTTCACCACAGTCAAGGTAGTGAACATATCCTGTACCCTTAAAAGTTTCCTGTGCTGTTTGGTGATCTCTCCCTCCTGCCCCTAACCCCAACTCCCCATATCCCTACCTAGATAGCCACTGATCTGCTTTCTGTTACTATCGATTCATTTGAATTTTCCATCTTTTTATACAAATGGAATCACACAGTGTGTGGCTTCTTATTAAAATCAAACCAGTTGCTGTCAAGTCAATTCTGACTCATGGCGACCCCATGTGTGGCAAAGTAGAACGGCGCTCCATAGGGTTTTCAATGGCTGATTTTTCAGAAATAGATCGCCAAAGCTTTTCTTGTGAGGAGCCTCTGGGTAGACTCAAACTGCCAACCCTTCTCACACTCTGCTTAGTTATGTGTCTGTACTGTAAATTGTGAGCTCTTTGAGAACAGGAGCCACCTTTTATTTCTTTTCTCTTCCTCCCCACTCTCCCAATTTATCTTTGCTCAGAGAAGCCCTTTGATCTTTATTTGCTTGATTGAAATAAAACCTTTATGACCTTGTAGCTGAGCTTTAGTTTGGTGGCCAAAAAGTGCCTGCCGTGTTAAGAGTTTTAACCCCCCACTACTTCTCTGTAGGTTCCTCACTTAGCAGCTTCTGCTCAGTTAAAAAATAAAAATAATAAAGCATTAGCTTAAACCAAAGGTCTTAATTTAGGTTTCTTGGAATCCTAGGAGTCCAGGAGATGAGCTTCAAGGTGTGTATGTATGTGGACGGGAAAGCGCTACCTGGGAAAAGGCCCTGGGCTGCTTTCTCCAGATTCTTTTCTTAAAAGGTTCCTTGACCGAAAAGAATGAACTGAATTAATATAATGCTCTATTTCTTATTACAATCCTACGTGCATTTTATGAATGTGATGTCTAATTATAAAGCCTCCACCATCTACCCGCCACCCTCACCCCCATTTCCACTCCCTCCCTCCTCCCCAGTACCTTCGTTTGTTCTCTGCCTGCCCTTGGTCATACTTAACCCTACTTAACTAAATACAGTGCCAGGCCCTCTCCTGCGGTAGTGCTACTTCGGGGGAACTTTTTGCATTCCTCTTCTCTTAAGACCTTCTCACCTAAGCTACCTGGTATGTTGTGGCTTTTTAGTCAACGACTCTTATGCCACGTTGCCCTGGACACTGTTGTGCTCAAATATCACAAACCTACATTTCCTCAAAGCCCAGAGCACAGGAACTCCCTTTTGTCTTAAACAAAATCCATGTTTTCATTGTTGTAAATGGTAAGTATTAAGAGAACCAGAAATAATAAAAAGACCGTAAATTCACAATTAGTCACCTCTGCTCAGCTCAGAGAGACTTCTCTCCCCGCCCCCCCGACATTGAACACAACATACTTTTTTAAGTGATATTGTGTCTGATTTTAGATAAAAGGACAGGATGTAGAACAGCTTCTAAATGATAAAATCGTATGCATCAGACATAGTCACTCAAGTGCTGGTTGCAAAGAGTCCTTCAGAAATAGGAGAGGAAAGAAAAACATCCCACCTGCTGACCAAAAGCCAACAGGGACTCCCCCCTTGCTCCAAATTCTACCTCAACCCCATGTAAGTTTGCAAGAGTTTGAGACCTTACACCCAGCAGCGTTTCCTGGCTGCCTGCTTGGAAACCAGCTTTTAGTTTTTTACTCCCCCTTTCACCTTTGCCTTTTTCCACCAGAGAGAAAATATGGTAATTTATAGCATCTTGGTCTCATTTCTACACAAATTCATTCCTCTGCACGTAAGGTGCAGGTTACTTACCTAGAAGTGTCAAAGGCAAGCCTGGGTTTGGAAGCCTCGCCCGCTGATGCCAGCCTGTTTAAATAGCTGGGTTGGCTGACGCAGGCTGTTGATAGCGTGGTTATTTACGTTCTGGAGTGCACGCTCAAGCAAGGACCTGAAAAACCTGCAGCATAGGCAGGACCAACACGACCGAAAGTATGCAGAGGTTACATCTCTCCTGGTTATTCAGGTTTGATATGGAGGCGGTGACTTCTAAGAGTCGCCTGGAACTTTCTTGTTACTATCTTCTAGTCCCTGCCCTCTTTCTTGATTAACCAAGTAAGACTCTTCTTCACTGAGATTGGATGAGAGAGATGTGGCTGAGAGAAGGGAAAGAAAAAGAGCACCCTGGACCCTTACGTCGGCTTCCTTATTTTGAACGCGTTTCCAGTTAGATGTTGCCTCATTTCAAAGCTGAAGCCTGGTGTGGTTGATTTCACAGCTCTGTGGGTGGGACGCCAAGCTAACAGCCTGGACCATTGCTCAATTATTGAAAAGTTTTCTTTCAGGCATAGAATGTACAAGTAAAGAACAGTTAAAGGGGAGATTTGGGCTAGGATGATACAATTTTAGATCTCCTTTCAAAACCTCTTTTAATTTCTTGCCCCCGCATCTGCACTTTCCTCCTTGCCTCCTCTGTAAGAAAATTCCCATATGAGTTGAAAGATTCATGGGCGCTTGAATAAAAAGCCAGCATGTGAGACTGTGGGAAGATGCACTCCAAGCGTGAGAGCGGGATCAGTGACTCCGTGTGACCATCAGTGGAAACAAGAATACGTGCGTGGGCGTGGGGACCAGCTAAGCCGATGTTTGTCTTTATTTTGTTAGATAGGGCAGCTCATGGTCAATGACAACAGTTAAACACATCAAGTAGGTATGATTTTGAGGGGATGAAGGAAGGGAGACAGGGTTTGATGAGATCATTTATGGGAGTATCTGTGTGTATTTGCTGGTACATTGTGCAAACTGGTAAGTGCCGCCCAGATATACAGACTCTGTAATTTCTCACTTCACTGGAGAAAAAAAAAGCCTCCTTGATTCTCTTGAGAACGGTTGTATGTGAAAGAAGAGCAGCAATCACTTAGAATATTTCTTTCCCTCTCAGAAAATGGAGTGACGATATAAAACATGTGTGGGAGAAAAGTAGAGACGGGGGCCTAGCCTACCCTAACCTTGGTTACCAGAAGAATTCTTTTGTTTCCCGCCTATTCATTGACTAGCTTCTGACTGTTCTATGGCAATATATGGATTCTTACCTCCCGTATTTCTTAAATGTAGGGTCTGTGTCTTGTTCATCTTTTGATACCCACAGTGCCTGGCACAAATTATCATGACAATGATGATGATCTACAGTCTAGAGAGACTATGTACCAGGCTCTATGAAAAGCACTTTCCAGAGAGTTTGCTTGCTTAGTTAACCCTCACAATAGCCCTATGTGTTAGATTTTTGTTATCTTCATTTTACAGGTGAGGAAACTAGTACTCTGAAAGATTAAATGACTTTGCCAAGGTCATAATAAGTGGTGGAGATGGAATTTAAATCCAGAGCTATCATATTCCAGAGTCTGGGTTTACGTCCAGGACTGGTTTGACCAATATTTAGAAAATTGCCTAAGAATGTTTCCACTTATCCTTATTCATTTATTTGTTTATCATCTTTCTTCCAGAATATGATTCCCATGATGACAATAATGTTATCTGCTTTGTTCATTCCTGTAAGTCCAGTGCCCAGGACACTGCTTGGTGCATAGTAAATGCTCAATAAATATGTGCTGTTTGCTCAGTTTATAAATTCTTTCAAAGGCTCTGCAACCCAGTAGTCAGAGGGTCTGGGGTCAGCAGAGCCTCATCTCAGTCGAGACACATTTCTTTTGCTCTTGGATAATGTGTCGGCTTCAAGCTATTTCTTTTTATTCAGTGTATCATGGAGATAAGACGTCCTGGTGGTGCAATGGTTAGGCGCTTGGCTGCTAACCAAAACGTTGGCAGTTCTAACCCATTAGTGGCTCCATGGGAGAAAAGACCTGACAATCTGCTCCCATAAAGATTACAGCCTAGGAAACCCTATTGGGTAGTTTCACTCTGTCCTATAGGGTCACTATGAATCAAAATCAACTCCATGGCACACAACAACACAATCATGGAGATAAAACTAAAACTGACTGAAACCATAAGAGCAGTTGCTATATCACTTAAAAACTCTGCAAGTAGGTTGTTTCAGGTTGTTCTCTGGTGCTATGATGTCACCAAGAACCTAGGTTTTTTTAATCTTTCATTTTGTAGTCCTCAGCGTGACAATGGTACCTCTCCTTATGGTAGCAAGGTGGCTGCAGTAGCTCCATGCATCACATCTTTAAACAAAAACATCCAAAGGCAGGTAGGAAGGGACACGGGCTTTCTCCTTCGTATCTCTCTTTTTTAATTAGAAAGGAAAATTTTTCCAGAAGTCACTAATAGACATCAGAGAAGCTGGATTATATGAAGAACATGGTATCAGGATTAGAGGAAGACTCATTAACAACCTATAATATGCAGATGATGCAACCTTGCTTGCTGAAAATGAAGATTACTTGAAGCACTTACTGATGAAGGAGAAAGACTATACCCTTCAGTATGGACTACACCTGAACGCAAAGAAAGCAAAAATCCTCACAACTGGACCAACACCACCATGATAAATGAAGAAATTGAAGTTGTCAATGATTTCATTCTACTTAGATCAACAATCAATGTCCAATGAAGCAGGAGTCAAGAAATCAAAGGACGTATTGCATTGGGCAAATCTGCTGCAAAAGACCTATTTGAAGTTTTAAAAAGCAAAGATGAAGAAAAAAAAAGACCAAAAAAAGGTCCTCCAAGGTTGAGAAGGGAGAGTGTTGACATGTCGTGGGGTTGTTAACCAATGTCATAAAACAATATGTGTACTGACTGTTTAATGAGAAACTATTTGATCGGTAAACCTTCACCTAAAGTACAATAAAAAAAAAAAAAGCAATGATGTCACTTTGATGACTCAGGTGCACCTGCCACAAGCTATGGTGTTTTCAATCACCTCATATGCATACGAAAGCTGAACAATGAAAAAGGAAGACAGGAGAAGAATTGATGCATTCGAATTGTGGTGTTGTGAAGAATATTGAATAAACCATTGACTGCCAGAACAATGAACAAATCAATCTTAGAAGAAATACATAGAATGCTCCTTAGAAGTGAGGATGGAGAGACTTTGGCTCACTTACTTTGAACACATTATCAGGAAAGATCAATTGCTAGAAAGGGACATCATGGTTGGTAAAGTAGAGGGTCAGCCAAAACAAGGGAAACTCTCAATGAGATGGATTGACACAATAGCCAAAACAATGGGCTCAAACATACCTATGATCATGAAGATGGGGCAAGACCAAGCAACGTTTTATTCTGTTTGGATAAGGTCTTGATGAGTTGGAAACAATGTGGTGGCACCTAACAGCAACAACAACAACAACTTCTAATAATTATAAGCAGAAGCCAGATTTTCCTACCCTTAGTCATCTTTGTGGCACTTATATGTAATGAGCAAAAGCAGTTAAACTCAAAACCCCCAGGTGTTGTAGCAAACTGGGGCATTTGGTAGAGCTACATAAAAGGCAATGACGTGAACAGTGAGGGAAACTATTCTCTTCCTGCCAAAAGCTAGCGATCCCTCATCAGTGAGGTGCAGAAAGCAGTTTGGCGAATAGGGAGCATGTGGAGCCAAGCAATGGTACAGAGAGAGAGAAAAGTCATTCCTTGGGGGACAGAAAACTACCAAAGGCATTTTACAACATTCACAGTGAAGGGTATCAACCTCCTACTGATCAAAATCTTACCTGTACAAGTACAAATCGGGAAAAGGTTAGCCAGAATATACAGACATACTTGCTAAAAGTTCTGCTCCCAAGGAATGAACTTGCAGACAGAGAGACCAAGAATTCTCTACAGCCTGTGTGGAAGTTCTGACTCCTAGAGTGCCCTTCCTGACCCAACCTGCCTGGGATGTGAACAGTGTGGGAGGCAGAAGAGGATCAGCAGGTGACAAAGAACCTAGACAATGAAGATGATGCCAACTGACCAAGGATGGAGATGTTTCCCTTGGCCTCTCCTGGCCAAGAGTTTCACAAGTTCTCTGATGGTGAGGGATTGGAAGTTAAAACATAATCGCACTGTTTTATTCCTAGTTTGCTGTATACATAATATGATTAAGTCATCCTTTTGGTGAACTGTATCTATTTCATTCAATACATGGATTTTATCATCTTACATAATCCATTTGTTTTCCTTATGGAGTCCTAAGTCAGTTGATGACTGGGAGTTAAGATGCTGTGGCACCATTACGGAAATGTTTCTGGGTAAGCCTGTTCCATCTGGGAGTGACCCATGTTGCGTTTGCTCTTCTACATAAGAACCACAGTTTGTTCTCATTCCAGTTAGTTTAGTCCAGGGTCTAATGAACCACAGGGAAGTTGTAAGCATTGTTTTCCTTCATGATCCCACTCATGTTATTGCTCGTAGGAATTAGGGCCCTTGGTAATGGGTGGCATTACCCTGACTGTGGAAGGAGGGAGGGATGAGGCACCTTTCTTCACCCATGAATGCCTTACTTCTCTCCCTCAGCATTAAGGTTTTGTTGCTGCTGGCAGGTGCTGCCCGAGAAGCAGCATGGCGACATTCTCCAGAGGGGTGGAGGTGGCGCCTCTCCCATGGCGCTCCAGGTCAGAGCCACCCTGGCCTGACTGTAATCCCCTAACACACATGTTGAGGACAGACAGTCCTCACACCCATTTCAGGTGGCCCTGTAATTTCAGGGGTGGGCCCTGTGCTTTTAGAAAGCAAGGGGTGGAGAGCTGGAGAAAACAAACAAAATTCCTTTGGTAAAATCTTGCTTGACTGAGAGTCAAACCCAAGCTATCTGGTTCCACAGTCCATGCTCCTAGCCACTGCACAGCACGGCCCTTGCAGCCACTTCTAGTACCGTCTTAGTCATCTAGTGCTGCTCTAACAGAAATACCACAAGTGGATGGCTTTCACAAAGAGAAATTTATTTTTTTTATTTTCTCACAGTCTAGTAGGCTAGAAGTCCAAATTCAGGGTGTCAGCTCCAGGGGAAGGCTTTTTCTGTCTGTCAACTCTGGAGAAAGGTCATCATCAGTCCTCCCATGGACTAGGAGCTTCCCTTCGCAGAAACTTCGGGTCCAAAGGATGCGCTCTGCTCCTGGTGCTTCTTTCTTGGTGGTATGCGGTCCCAATTCTCTGCTTGTTTTTGTTTCCTTTATCTCTTGTAAGGTGAAAGGTGGTAGAGGCCACACCCTAGGGAAACTCCCTTTACACTGGATCAGGGATGTGACCTGGGTAAGGGTGGTGTTACAATCCCAC